TAATTGCTTGTTGATTTCATTGGCAAAATCATTTTATTGCTTTGAGAAATATATAAATAGGACTTTCAAATTCGAATTAACAATGTACTTCTTCAAGGCTTGAAATTCTAAAGCTAATAAGGAAATATAGCTGGATATGATGGCACAGGCTCATGAATCTAGACTTGAAAAATAATGAAAGAAAGGTCATGAGTTCAAAGTCATCTTTGGTTATGTAGCCAGTGTGAGGCCACATAAGCTACACAACACTGTTCCTCAAAACCCTTCTTAAAAAAAAAGTGCTAATCTCTGAACTGACTGAACACATTATCATTTTACAAGCTTACCTGGGGTTCCAGCACAAATTTATTTTTACAGTATTCTAGAGAAAGGTACATGATTCATAACCGTAAGGAATATAGAAACTAAAATAGAAGAAAATCAGCAAATAGGTGCACAGGTTATAAATTTGCAGCAAGTAACAAACTGGTGATGAGGAGACTACTGGAGACAATGTCACAAAGAGCTTTGAAATACTGGACATTATAAGTTAAGGAATACTTTAGAGATGAATACACAAGAAAGCAGTAGGAATTATGCAGAAAATATAGATGCTAGGCATGGCATTAATAAAGGTATTCACTAATCCTCCAAGGAGCTCTTAAATTTGAACATCATATCAGAGCTTCAATTGATCAGAGCAGATCCTAGCCCTTGTTGGTCTCAGGTAAAAGGGAAAAGCTATCACATCATTCAAAGTGTCCAAGAAAGGAACATAAACTTGGAAAATGTTAACTATATGTTCTCTTCAAGAAGTTCCTGAAGAGCAATTAACCCCAAATACTGTCTGCTGCAGGGTTCCAAGAAGCTAAGCAAGTGGGCTCCACCATCATAAGAGAAAGCCTAGAAGGCTCCACAGATCACTCACTCGATGTGAAACCATGTGAAATGGGCATTGTAATTCTTGAATAAAAAATTGCCTACCTAAGTTGAGGGAGGACATGTGGATGTGTAGACGATGTATTCTGGGCATGTCTACTATGAGTGATAACTAAAATCTGGAAAGTGTAGAGTCAGTGTAAAGACAAATGAATGAGACATAAACTATGTTTTAGAAAGATCACTCTGGTAAAATACTGTCTGAACATAGGAGATTAGGAACTGAAAAAGAAGTTATGATAGATTACACACATGTGCGCACACACACAGAGATAGATAGGGTGGGGGAGAGGGAGGGGGAGAGAGACAAAGAGAGAGAGACAAAGAGAGAGAGAGAGAGAGAGAGAGAGAGAGAGAGAGAGAGAGAGAGAGAGAGAGA